AACTTGCCTAGGGCACCAAAATGGCTAGAGCCAGCACTGGTTGAGGTTCTGAGCAGAACCTTCAGGACCACCTGAGAGCGGCTGCRCCTCGTTAGCCGCGGCGCTAACACAGAAGCTGTTTATTAAGTGAAGCTCCTCGCTTCGCCTTTTCACCTAATTCAATCCCATCTTTTCCTCCACTTATTCACCTCTGCAAACAATCAGCCCTCCTCCTCCTCCTACTCCTCCTCCTCCTCCTCCTCCTCCTCCTCCTCCTACTCGTCTCCAGAAGCTGCAGAAAAGCCGGAAATGAGTTCAGGGAGATACTTCTCCATAATCAAGCCCATTAATCATAAAAGGCTGTCAAATTTGACTTTGGGGACAATTTGTCAGCCGATCTTGCCCACTTGGCTTTTGTCACCGTTGGCTCTTGTATTCTGTAAGGATGATTGACAGTCCAAACGCCGCTCAGTAGAATAGCTAGTTTGTGCTAATATGCATAACCGCAGCTTTCATGAATAAGAATCAGGCAGCTCTCCGGCAGCACAGAGGGGTCCCCCTTCAAAGGCCTCGCCGCCGTTTGTCGCCGCCGCTCCAAATAGATGTTATTACCATTATAACAATATTTGTTTTCTTTCCCGGGAAYGGGCCACGGCGAGCTGCTAAATCAAATTTGTCGCAGGCTGTTTCATGCAGCGGCGGAGGAGAAAAGGGGGCTTTCAGGCTGCGACTCGGGTRGGGATGATATCTGAAGGGTGACAGAGAGCCGGGGGGACGCGCCCTCGCCGCYGCCGTGTTCCCGCCTCCCTGAGAGGAATCCATTACCTCCACGAGCCGCCCGTCAAACAGGGATTCATTCTGCGATCCCAAAGWGGCTTTTTGGACGCTTGTGGAGCAGCGGAGGGTGAATGGAAACAACGCAGCCAGACGAGTCGAGCAGCAATCAGCGGCAAATCCCAACCGGACCGCCTCCCGGCGCCGCGACCCGACGTCCCCACAAATAAAACAAGCCAGCGGCTGGAAGGGAGAAAATAGTTTTATTTCAGCTCAGATGGAGGCAGGAAGGTTTCACTTCTTCCCAAAACATCCAGGAGCTTCACTTCAACCAAAGTTTATCAAAAGCTCCAACAGAACCAGCCTGCAGGGTTCTGATCCAGAACCAGCTCACCTTTAAAGAGCCTGGGACATGCATGTCCATTAAATACAAGAAGTTAAAGAAAATGTATTTATGTTTAACAAACTTACATAAATTTACATGTTATGTCACATAACTGTTATATTTTCTTTTGAACTTGGCTCAGCTAAAGTGAAACAGGAAGTGACATCACAGGGGAACTCTTTAACAAAGAAAACTGGTCTTTGTTTATTGAAACAATATTTGAACTCTGACTCTTCATCTCTCTGATAGWGATTAAAATTATCTAAAGAAACATCAGATCTGTCTGTTAGCTGTTAGCAACASYCTGTTCACAKKCARAYAYTCCCCTCTGACATCACTTCCTGTTACTTCACAGGCAAATATCTCAACAACTGTTCTTCTAAACGACATGAAATTTATTTTGCAATATTTTATCAATGTTCTCTTTTTAAAAATACGTTCACATGATTTACAAAAATTTGACGTCACAGACACTTTAACCTCCCTGTCGTGATGCGTTCACTGACCGTCGACTTTAACTCCATCAGATGTTTTCATGATGTTTAATGAAGATCACGAGTTCTTAAAGCAACAACTGAAGGTTGGAAATTTTCWTTTTCCACTTTTTAAACAAACGTAGAAAAAAAAATCACCAAAATYTGACAAACAGCAATAAAATGTATGAGCTGTTAGCAAAATATCCTATAATCCACTGGATGAACATCTACAACTCAYTGGCTGCATCTCAGTTCAGGGTCAACCCCAGTTCAAGATGGCCGCCACAGCTGACCTGTAGCTGAGAGTCGGACTGAAACGGTCTCACCTCGGTGGCCTTTAACTGAATTTAAACGTCAGGGCGGCCATCTTTGTTTCTGTGTTGGAGGAAACACGAATCAGCTGACAGGAAGTCTCCTCGTCTCAGAAAGAGAGGGATGATGCGTTCGAGTGCTTCCTGCCTTGACCTCAGAAGATCATGATGACGATCCAGAGCTTTGAGTGAAGCTCCGCCCCTTCCCAGCAGAATTTAGGCTCATTACTTCCTGTTATTAAACGCCAGCTGAACTTTGACCCTTCAGGGCCCTGTTCTCCTCCCAGCCTGCTTCCTCCCTGAGCAGCGGCTGGCGTGATGAACCCTGACCCCTCCCCCTCGCCGCCCCGCCCCGCCCCGTACATTACTCGCCCCATATGAAGACAGATTGCCTGATGTGGTGTAAACATATGCTGCGATTCCAGGCATCAGTGCCACTTTCTTCATCYTAATTCATATCGATTTCTCTCCTCCTGTTTGTGTGAGGAGGCCGCCGCTCTGCTGCCATCTGAGGAGGAGGAGGAGGCGATGAAGAGGAGGCGAGGAGGGGGCAGATTCTTCAGATATTTAATCAAGTATTTATCGGCCTCTCTCTGCTCGGCTCGCTGCGAGGAGGATCAAACGGTTGGTCGGCGTCCTGCTGACGGGCACGCTCACTTATTAGGCGACTAAGAGACCGAGGAGACGAAGAGGAGGAGGAGGAGGAGGAGGAAGAGGCGGGCTGCGCGGCGTGTTAAACTAATTTGTTGACGGCAGATTTGCAGCTTCAGAGGAGACGAGCAGCGATCGCTCGGCAGAGACGACGACTTCCTGCAGAAACACTGAAATCATGTGTGAAAACATCTGCGGGCGGATTAATAACGTGTGAGGAGTCAGCTGGTGGGTTTAAAACTCAAACCAGACCAGACCAGAACTGAAGAACCACAGGGTTTAAATGAATCACTGCGATGACATAATAACTAAATTAAATTACTGAAATCATCTGGCTTTAAATTTCACTTCGAAATTCATGTTCGTGTTGGAACTAGTTTCTGCGGCGGATTAATCTGGTGAGGAAGCTGTAGAACCTGAAGCTCAGAGTTCAAAGGTCAGATCTTGTGGTTTTAGGCAGACTAAAGCAGATAATCTTAACCCATGGGTCATGGAGCCTCCTTGAGGGCCTCAAAAGAACAACAGTTTTTAACTTTGGGCCACAGAAGGTCGCGGGACCGCATTGATTTTAAATAAGGTGTAATACACTTTCTCACCACTAGTAGCAGTAGTGCAC